TGCAGAAAACATGTATGTTTTTGTTGTATTAATGTATTTTGATGCATATTTGTAAATGCTGTATGCAAGGCAATTGCTTCTGTCACTAAGTGATACTTTATGTAGTTTTTGTTCCCGTCCTTAAAAAAAACCAGCTCTCAAACTCAGTCCAAATTTCAGCACAGTTTCACCCCAAGTTCTTTCACACAAGCTAAAGTAAAAGAAAAATCCTAAGATATTAAGTTTACTTCCATTCAAACTGAATTTTCTAAATATCCAAATAGTTGTGGTGAACGTTGGTAGTCACGAATTCATGATTTCTCTCCTTGCCTCCAAATCCTGTCATACAGTGGGACTCTTTTCTCCTCTCTCCATCTCCATCTCCATCTCCTCCTCTTACCAGTCAGATATTTTCAGGTAGCTTGGAGGAATTTAGTGCCATTTTTTGTCTCATGCTCCTCTGCTGATGTTTTTTGGAACTGGCCAGCATGCTTACTCAATGTTGGGAAGACAAAAGAGATGAAACAGTTCCTTAGGAAAACAAGGTAGCAGGTATTACTTGGGAGAAAAAAAAAAAAAAAAAAAAAAAAAAAAAGGAGGCTTAATTGTCCTTGAGGGTCTTTTTCCCTGGTTTTGTCATGTATTAGTGCATCAAGACTTCGCACTTACCAGTTTAGAAATTGCAGGTCTAATACTGTAGCAATAAAAGAGCTTTCACCAATTTCCTAACTGGTGTTAAACTGTCCAAAGAAGCCCAGATGTATTTGGATGAACATGTAAATGTCGGCTTCTACTCTGATATTATGGGTGGTGTCCAGGTGTGACCCATAGGCTGTACAAAGAGGGGAAAGCTGTGCAGTGCGGTGAGGGTGCACTGTAGATGCTTGTTCTGTATCATTGGATGAGGTTGCTATAAATTGTGAAGCTCAGAGAAGATAGAGGAAAATGACTCCTGTTCTGTTGTGTAGTGAAAAGTAGTGTGTAAAGTAGTACACAGAGTTGTAGGAAGATGCAGCAACTGGAAATCTCATCTAGACAAAACTGTTATAGAAACTAAATGCAGTAGAAAATAATAAGGCAGTAGAAGATTTGCTGTCATTTGAAATCAAGATTGGATGCCTTTCTAAACTATAAACTGTAATTCAACCGCAAGTTATTTGTTCAATACAAGAATTATTGCGTGTCCTACATTGTGCAGGAAGTCAGAATTATTACTTCCCTTCCTGGCCGTGGAAATTATGAGGCAAATCCTGGTCTGAAATCAACTCCTAAAACATCAGTACACACAGGATCTGAACTGACAAATACATTTTTACAAAGAAAAATGTTACAGGTCGTTTTTACTGGAGGCAAAATTCACAGACCTAACAGATCTGTAATTACTGTCTTTGATAATTATGTATATGAGACATATATTTAATTTTTTGGTTTATGTAGCCATTTTTGTTCAGATTTAACAACATGACTAATTACTAACACCAATTCTTAGACTATAATTAATGTAATAATTAAATAATGCATGCTGTAGAAGTTTTAGCAATGTACATAATGCAGTAATAAACATGGTACTTCAGCAGCTCCTTAGGTCAAATATCTGTGGGGGAAAAAGCATTTTGTTTTTCTGTTTTCAATTAAAAATGAAATTGCTTTTCTGATTTTCAATGCTAGACTGATATAAAAAGTTGTTTGTTGGTTTTTTTTTTTTTTTTTTTATGGTCATAGCTTACAGCTTTGTCAGGGAGTCACAAAAGATGAAAGTGTATCTGCCAGAAGGATGATTCACAGATTCAATAGGAAGCTTTGCTGGGAAGACAGGCTTATAGAGTAGGAACTGGACAAAAAGTTGTCACCTTTATTTTAAGAACTGTTTTTCACTGTGTTATTTCAGAGCCTTCCTCAGTCAGGCTTTCAAGTTCCTCTTGGCCCTTTATAATTTCTAAAATTTTCCAAATTTTTTCTACTATGCTTTTTTTAAAAAAATAAAATACATTTTTCAGAATACTAATGAGGACTTCAAAAAATAGAATTTTTGCTTCTTTGCAAGAATAGAAAGATTAATCTATTACATCTTGCAAATCTCCAGTTGTTTTTGACATTACATGCAGTCTTTTGAAAACCAAAGTATTTCTGTTAGTAAATGATCACTCACTATTTGTTTTATTTGTCTTCTGTATCCAGACATGCATATGCTTGTCTTGTTTGGCATCTGGTTTCCCCCACTTAGAACTTATTCTGACTTTACTGATGGTCTACATGTATGTTGTCTAAGACAAAGTCACACTAAGATCAGAGTTGGGCACAAATATAGCTAAGTGTGATCAATATTGAATGTGAAGACATCTTTGTGGAATGAAGTATGCAGAACTGAATAATACCCTAATATGTGTTGCTTACTGTAAATGCTTATACGTTTTATGGCAGTCGTTCCTCAGTATTTAAAAGCTTTGAATAAGAGATGTTGCTATGCCTCTGAAAAATGTTCCACACCAGCAGTTCTCATTGAAGATAATGATGAAGCATAAATATTGAATGAATAGCAACTTGTAGCCTTATTGGAGGCCAGAACAGAAAGAATGAGCATTCCCAAGACATCAGCGCATTTTGAATTTGATAGACGGGGAATGTTGCGTTGAGTACCTTTGTGACTAACAAGTATCAAAACCCAAGGAGAATTCAGAAATGAGGAGCAGTTCCTCTAGATTCGTGATTTATGAGACAAAGTGAAATGGGTTAAATATTATGTATTCATGGTTGGTCAGGTGGCAACTAAGAGGGAAGAGATGCATTGTAACTTATGTATATCTGGTGAATGCAGGACCAGAAGGGAGCAGAATTAAGTCCTGTATTATAAAGTATGGATAATTTGAAGCAAGCAAATGGAACTAACAGAATGAGGATTTAACTGAAACATAGTAAAATTTCCTAACTGGTAGGATTATGTGGAATGTTTCTTCAGTGGAGATAAAAGTAAAACACAAGTTTTTGAGACTTTGTAGTTATAGTGCTTAATGCTATGTACTGTAAGAATGGAATATGTGATATGAAGATCATGTCTGCTTGGCAGAAACGTTCAAGGACTTCAGAAACTGGTCTTTCATTTCTGTAGGAAACATTCATCACTCACTGTCAATGGAAAGACTTCTTACTTCAGTAAGAACTGGATTCCACTCTGATTCTGATATGTTTGTGAAACAGAAATAGGGTGATCCATACTGTGCTTGCATAGAAAAGCTTAAAATGAACAAAAGATGGAGGGATGTGTTGTGAAATAGAGATAGAAGATGAAATTACTCAACAACCCTGATCATTGACGGGCAAAAATTACAAGTCAGTTGGCAGAGGGGAAAGCAGACAAAACAAGATGTTCCCCTACGCTGATAGAAATATGAACAGAATACAATCCAGCGTGAATTTCAGTCAGATGGAGCCAAACTGTAACACCAGCCCTGACTGTGCTTGGATGCTACAGAAGTTTGAATCTGGGTCAACTCCAAACACAGCTCTGTCAGCTCCTTTAAGTTACAATAATTTATTTTGTATGCAAGATCTTTTTTTTTTTTTTTTCTTTTCCAACCTTGGATCCACCCAAAAGCTCTGAGAAGTCTTAAAGTTTATAGCCTTTGGCTCATGTTGACAATCAGAACGAAAAGTGAGTGCTGATAAATTGTTTAATAAAATGCTATAGAGCTCTAGTTCTGGCAGTTAATGGTATTAGACCCATGCCACAAACCCCCAGTGAATGAACAGGTATAACCTCTCCTTTTTCATATTCTTTTCACTCTATAGCAGCCAAAGGGCAGATTTCAGGTAGTACATCTCTGTTGAATATCATTCTTTGTATTCATTCACCCTTTCATGTTGGATCTACCTAGGTAAAGGAAGAAATAATATTTTAGACATTTACTATTTACGATTAAATCCCCCAGCAGAAAAACTTTTTTTTAATGTATTTGGTTTACACTTTCAGAGTAATGATGGACTGGGTTTTTTTTTCCTGTCAAGAAATAGTTCTCCTTAAACTTCTCTTATAATCTTACTATTTCTTGTAAAAACTGAAAACTTTCACACACATCGTGGAAGAAAAAGCTTTGTCAATAAAACAAAACTTTATAATATGCTACTGGTAACTCTGTGCACTATCTCTGGAACTCTGCAAAATACTTTACATTGAAAGAATCAGATTAATTTTGACTTCCTACTAGTTTTGTTTCAGCATCTAACACATCTACAAAGCATCTAACATCTTGTCTTAAATTTAAAATGTTGGGGATTTTTTTATTAAGTGTTTTCTCCAGCATAAGTTTCTTACTTGATAGAAATATTGTGAGATCCCAGTTTTTCAAGAAATAGTCAAATATCTCATTGGTATTAATACTGCAACTACATTAAGACTAATTATGGAATTAATTTTTCTTCTTTTTTTTTCCTTGATGATTTGATCATACAGAACAATTGCCTTTCTGAATGTTTTCCTTCTCTGTTCACAACCGCTATGAATTCAGTGGAGTTCTGTATGTTTATAAGTATTTACATAATTAGATAGCAAATTATTAATAGTATTAGCTGTAAAAAAAAAAAAAAATCAGTAAGCTGTTCAATGTGCTAAGGAGATGTACTTCACAGCTCTGTCCTGGCAGAGTGAGTGGAATGGTGTTGAATGTCAGTTCATTCAACCTGAAATGTCATGTTGCTGTGATTTGCCAAATGGCTTCACAGCCAGATTTACTCTCCTCCTTTTTCTGTACCTCTTGGCCTACAGGGTGCAGGTCATTTAAAGTTTTCACATTGGACGTGGTAGATGTAATAATATTGTACACCCATGTTTTATGTTGAAAACCAAGTCCAAAACCCATTCCTTTTCACTAAATATTGTGGAATGAAAATACTCGCTGCATTTTAGATGAGACGGCAAATACTGGTTTTGAACAGAGCAATCAGTATTATACGTAAGCAAAAAAATTTTTAAACATTGTAAGACTTGGTATTGATTCTCTAATTCTGTTGGGTTTTTATATCCACAGGTTGTTCGGTGTGACTTCTCTTACTCAGACAAACTGCTCAAGCACTTGGATGATCATCAAAAATCAAGAGTTACATTGGTATCACCATGCTAATCCAATCTTACTGCTGGTGATGTACTACACCCTCGCAACTCTTATCCGTCTTTGGCTACAAGAGCCCATTGTAAGGGTAACTTCCTTCTCTTTTTTAGCACTAATGACTGTGAGGCTGGCCAATACAGACACTTGCAAACAGAAGTGCAAACATTCAAGAAAGTTAAGGGAAATAGATAGCAAGTGCAAGCTGGTGCCTTGAATTCGGTCTTTTTGATAAGTGTCTTCAAGAGTCTTATCTTGCAGCAGTTACATGGATATTCTTAAAGTCAGCAGGACTATTTATGTAGGGACTACAATGACAGTGCATTAACACTTAGTCTGATTTGGAAAGCCAGTATCGATATGAAGTAGTGTAGTTGCTATCGAATAGAGGGCAAACACCCAGGGCTTGTCTGGCAGGACTGAAGCAGGGTACAGGCTGGCACAGGATGCTGCAAGACAAGACAGAGATTTGCTATTTTATCATAGATGGAGAAAAATTTTCTTAAAACTTTTCCTCCTGAGTCTGTGTGCCTGAGTGAAAATCCCAGCATTCATTTAAGAGCAAGAGAAAAAGGAGACAACAAGTAAATTTTTACTTCTTCCCGTTTCAGAGGAAAAAGGGAATATGAGAACCCAAAGGTATCTTAAAAGCTTAGAAACTGGGAGTATAAAGAGGATGATCCTAAGCATTTTAATTTATTTTAATCTCTTGGTTGTATGAGGCTTGACATGAATTTTAGAGTTCACGTTTAGCAGTGCTGTAAACCACAATGAAAATACTCATGACTGAGCTGTGAATTAGTGGAGTTTGTAGTAGCAAGTAAAAATCTTGAAGGTTTTCTTATTTTAAGGGTGTTTCTTCATATAACGGATAATGTAACAGTTTAACATTTAAAAAGGCAGACAAAATACATCACCTCTGAATTGAGATGTCTGATATTTGGGGTTTACATATACTGGGCTTCATAATAAAAGGTGAATGATGCCAGAACTGTCAGCTTGAGTTATTAAAAAAATCGTGTCTTAAGTTTCCAGAAATTTTAAGACTGGCTTTTCTAAAGTCACAAGGTTTTAAAAGATTGTGGTCCAGTGCCCTCTGGCATTGGGTTCTTTTAAGGTTTTTTTCCTATTATTTTTTTCTGCAGCTGCAGCAGCTGGAAAGTTGCTTTTTTTTTTTTTCTTTTTCTTAAGTGAAAACTGAGATTTCCAAATAATAATATGGTTTTAGCCTTGGGGCTGTAACTAAAACTTCACATCTCACAAACTGCGTAGTAAAATCATGAGAACTACTCACAGAGGAGTAACCACATGTGAAAGGCGGTTAGTGGGAGCTGTGTGATCTCAGCATCTCTGGGAATTCATTTACAGTACCAGGGTTGTTTTCATCCAACTTCCACCATGTTAAAGTTTGGTGCTGGGTCTAAGTTAGTTACTGTGCTTTTTCAGTGGAGAGAAAAGGAGAAATGGGCGTGTCTGTCTCAGGATACAGTGAATCCTGCAAGTTCCTCCAGGGACTAGAGAGGAACTATAGTGGACTTGCCTGCACTTCTTCCTTTTAGACTACTTGTGTTGTCTGAGATGGATATTCCCATAAGACACTAAAATCAGTCTCTGAGAACTCGAAACAAGTCAAATTAGAGATGCTTTCTAAGCAATTGAGCTAGAGCAAGTAAGTATTGGAGGAGATGAATTTAAGAAAAGTTAATGTCTCTCAAACCCATAGCTACACGAGTGGCAATACAAAGTCTTGGCTCTCCCATGGGAACTTCAAATGCCAGGGGAATGATGCTTCCCTCTGAAGTGAAATGAACACTTAAAAAAGAGAACATTGTGAAGAAAATTATACCCATGCATTAATGCTTATTTTTGATGCACTGGATGTAACAATGCAAGTATTTCTCATTAGAAAGAGATGCTGAGATTTGCAAAATTTACCATATTTTACACACTTTCTCCTTATGGCCTTTTTTTTGCCTATATGCATTTTGTTTTTCCTTTAGTGGTGCAAGAGATCAGGAATTAATTTTTCTTTTACTAGCTTTCTCCTGGTAGACTCCGTTCTCAATTATTTAAATCCAGAAATAATTGTATTCAAGGTTTCATTGAAATGTTTTTTGACTTGTGAATTTGTGGTGCATTTGATTCATTATGGAGCTAAGTATATAACCTGCCTTTGTAATCCCCAGTGATTTCAAAGTTACACTGTATTTAGGATCTCACCACTAACCTACCTATAGTTGGATGGATGGCAAAGACAATATGCTATGTGCTGTTTAGTGTAAAGCGGTTGTTCTCTGCTTACTGCTGTCATGTACAGTAAAAAGTGGCTCATCTTAGAAGTTTTATTCAAAAGAATCTCTTGAACAAAACCTGTTTTGAACAAAATGTGTATGACATTATGAATAAGGAAATATTTATTCAGTCTAAAAAGATGTACAAAACTAAATATAATACTGGTGTAGCAGATCCTAAAAACAGAGTAAGACACGTAGACCTGGTGGTTTTTCATTCTTGTGTGAATTGCATCTTGGGGTCCTTCTGTGAACAAATTTCCTGTTGGATTGCAGCAGGAGTTGTCTCTCAGACAGATGCTCTTGAGATTGTCTCTGAATATTGCAGCTGATGAACAATTTTACAAGAACAATACCCACTTCAAATCTTGAGTTTCAGGGTGAAGTTTTTTGTGTGTGTGCCACAGTCTGTCAAAGTAGAGCATGTATGAGATTTCAGTGTAGGGTCTCTGTGTGGGATTCCGTATGGATCTTACTCGTGCAAAATGCCCTTGGTGGTCAGTGGAAGTTTTGTTTTTCTTATGCCTGCTATTTTGGATCTTGATTTGTTCTAGCATCGAGTCTTGTGAAATTCTACCTCTGCCAATAAGAAGGGGCAATCTGCCTCTGGAGATTTCAGCTTATAGTTGTAACTGCTAGTACTGAATATATGAATAGGGCCCATTCATTCTGTCCAGTGGGTGGAAGGGAACAGTACACAAGTCAACAGAGTTACAGCAATTTAATGTAGAGTCCTCTTATAGGATTTTTAGAATTGTTTGAATTAACAGACATTTGAGAGTTGCTCAGGTAGTGGAAGAACTGGAAGAATTAGACAAGTCAAAGGACTCTCACAGGTTGTAATCATATGACTGGTACTGTGTTTTCTGACTTTTCTTCCTCATCTGAGAAAGAGAAAACAAAATTTCCTACCCTTCCCTATAGTCTCTTAGGCTAAAAGTATATTACTAAAATAATTGTCTACACCTTAGGTCTTTTGGTATTGTTTTGGTCACCCTGGTGCCAAACTAAATGCTGTTGATAAACAGTTCTTTATGGTCCACATCTATATTAAAGTTTCAAATGGCAGTGACAAGTATTTTAAGCACAGAATCAGTTTATTTCATCTTACAGTTTGGCTAGGAATGCCCTTTTACCATCAAATATAAATACACAATCGTATGCGAAATGTGCTACCATTGCCTCTGAGAAGTAAAACTGAATTAATAACCATTGTTTATCTAAGTCAAGATTTAAAAAATAGGACCTTACTGTTAGGATTGGAATGGAGAGAGTTTCAAAACCAGCTAGGATGTTTGGATGTCCTGTTCCCATGGATAGCTTTGCAGACCTCTGCCCAGCATCCTGATTTATTCTTATTCTATTGCATCAGCTGATTTTATGTAAGCAATGAGAACACTTACCACCAGCTAGTTCCCATTAAAAGCTTAATTTGGGACCCTGCCTTTGAAACACCTCAAGTTCAGACAAAAACTAGCTTTCACACAGTGAGATATCTCTTTGTTGGCAGTAGATAGAGTTTAAGTAAAACAGCAAGTACCAGGGCAGATGCGTATTTCTGTTGCAAACCAAAATTCAGCTTAGTAAGACTTCATTTGAAGCAGAAATACAAGTATCTGCTAAGTAGAAAGGACAAAATAGGCAAGTTCAATAGGTAAGTTCAACAGCAATGTAGAACCCAACTCGAGCACTTTTCATTTATTAGAATCACATGTATGTATATTCAGCGCTGCAGCACTTTTTTCGCATAGGAAGACAGTTTTTTTAAAGCAGTACTTCAAAGCATAGGTAAGTCTACCTTTCAATCCTCACCATTCCTACTAGTTTTGAGATAAACATTCAGGCATTAATGGATGGCAGAGTGGAATAGCTGCTGCTATTATTATTCCATAATATTCACTTCATGTTCTTGCGTACCTTCCTCTGAAATTTTGAATACATATTATTTCCATCAGAACCAAAAATCTAAAAACCACATGAAGTCTTGGGAGGAGAGTAGAAACCAGAAAACTAAGGAAGTAAGGAAGTAGAGAGGGCAAATCGTAATGAAAATAAAAAGTAGGGTCAGGGTCTAAGGTTCAAAATGAGAAACTGGGCTCAGGTAGAGAGCAGAGTAACTTCAGTAGTGGCAGCTTCACCCTGATGGTATCCTGGGACCAGTGAATCCTGCTGAGCAACACTGTGCTGGAGATGCTCACAGCTTTCACATGCAGCTCGTGGGCTCCAGAGCACCTCCTTCCTCCCTTTAGCACCACATGGTTGAGCTTCCTCCTCTCACTGGTATGAACAGCAAGGTTCTGCTGCTTTGTGACAGCTCAGCTGGGAAGTGCAAGATTGCACGAGAAAGAGGGACAGTGCAGGAAGAGCTCTGGAGGAGCCCAAAGAGGACCTGTAACCTAGCGTGGTTTATGTACATATACCGAGGTCTCCCACTTGGCACTGTGCTTTAATAACATCCATGTTCAGTCTGTTTGAGAGGCCCCATACCCCTGCTGGGCCATGGACTTAAGATGGAGTTAAGACCACTGCGTTAGCAATCCTCTGCAATTTAGTGGTAATAGTTCCTGTCATAGATGGTGAAATAGAGCACGTGGATCATAGACAATCACAGAGTCACAGAACAGTCCAGGTTGGAAGGGACTTCTGGGGACCACCTAATCCAACTTCTTGTGGGAGCAGGGCCTCAGATTAGGTTGTTCAGGGCCAAATCTTGGATGTTTCCAGCAAAGGCAGCCAGTGCCCATGATTAATTGTTCTCACAGTGAAATACTTTTTTTTTTTCATATCCAGAAGACATTTCCCTAAAGCAAATTATGCCCTTAGCCTCTTGTCCTATAGCCATGCCTTGCTGTGAGAAGAGTACTTCTGTCTTCTCTAAAACTGTAATTTAGGTATTAGAAGGCTGAAAAAAAAACAATTCCTGCATCCTTCAACTTCTCCAGTCCTCCCATCTCCAACCCAATTGCCATCTTGGCAATTTTCTGGTGGACCCTCCCCAGATTTTCTATGTCTCTCTTGAACTGGGGGATGGCAGAACTGAATTTCAGGTATGGCCTGACACTTGCCAGGTACAGTGGAATAATCACATCCCTTGATCTGCTGACAGTACTCTTGCTGATGCAGCCCAGGACATGTTTGACTTCATAGCTGCTGGAGTACACTGCTGGCTCATGTTCAGCTTGCTGTGCACCAGGACCCCCTGGGCCTACTCCACAGAGCTGCTCCCCAACCAGTCTGTCCAGTCTTTACTATTATGTGGGTTTATTCCAGTTGCAGGAATTTATATTGATCTTTGTAAACCTTATGACTTTTTTGTTGGCCCATCTCTAGCCTATCTCTGTATGGTGGCTCTTCCTTCTGGCCCATCTACCTCACCTCCTGGTTCAGTGTTATCCACAACCTTTGTGTGGGTGCGTTCCATCCAGATAGTTTTGAAGATACTGAATAGTACCAGACCTACTGTCAGTCCCTGAGGAACTCCACTCATGACCGACTATCATTTTGACTCTGAGCCATTTCCCCACATTGAGCAAGACAGTCTAGCCAGCTCTCCATCCATCTTGTGCTCCATCTGTCAAGCCCATATCTTACCAGCTTGTCAGAAAAGATGTTGTGGGACACTCTGTCAAACACTTTGCTAAAATCAAGGTAGCTGACATCCACAGCTCTCCCTTCATCCACTGGGCCTCTTTCAGCATAAATAGCAATCAGATTACCCTTGGTAAATCCATATTGGCTTTTTCCAATCATCTTGTCCTACACATGAGCATGAGCATACACAGGTACTTTTATGGCTTGACTCAGAAGCTAGACTAGATGAGCCTAAATGGATGACCAGCACTGACTACTGTGTTACGTACTGAGGCATGGATTGGTGCCTGAGGTTAGCCTTTAATGGTAGATACGTGTGTTTAAAAGGTTTTGATCTTTTCAGTTCTTCTGTTGTTTAGTAAAGCAGAAATGGCTTTTCACATATATAGTCAGATGAGAAGAGTGAATTTTCTTTCAATACACTGCCTTGAAAATGAAACATCTGTATCCTAGCTTATGGTATGACTATATAGTAAGGTAGGATGTGGAGGTCTGTGTAATTCTGGTGTCTTGTAACTCTCAGGAAGCATCTTGTCATTGACAGACTAGCAGTTATAGAAAAGCTCTGTCATCATTTCTGAAAACGTCATCCAGTAAGAGTCATCTATCATAGATCAAGTACATTAGACACTAAAAGGTGTTTCAAAGACATGGTTTGGAGAGGGAACATTAATTAAGGGAAAATTTAAATTCCTCTGGTAAGAATGTTATTTAGAGAGCTATAACTAGTCTTGTCATTTGTATTGTTTAGCAGATGCCTGATGAAGAGAAGTCTGTTAGCAGGGAAGATGACAAAGAAATAGCCTGCAGCCCAATTCCAATGACAGCGGAGAGAAGACGCAGTCTGTGGTATGCAAGCCACTATACAACTGATGAGAGAAAAGTAAGGCTGGAGGGGGAAGGGTCTCTGCATTAGATGCATTTCAATCAGTCAGTTAATTTTATCATAGTTACTTTGAAATTAAGGGAAGCAGCATTATATAGGTTGCAATTAAGAAGATCTTCACATCTGATTATATAAATCAGATATAATATCAAAGCTGTGTGGCAGAGTAGGAATATATTTTTAAAAAATTAATAAAACAAAAACAAGAGCCAGTGTAAGGAAGTAAAAGAGGAGCATGCTCTATGCTCTGTATTTTCAGCTTCCACATTTAAGAAGTTTAGGGCCAGGCTTTTGTCATGAGGCCGTTATCTTTGTGCAAAATAGCTAGAAAGTCTGTTCGGGATCTAAATCCTGATGTAAAGATCCAATTTGCCTTGTAACTTCTAATTAGCACTGTCATTGGTAAGGGGGAACTGCCATCTTATCTTCCTCCAAGCATACTGGTGCCCTTGTTGGATATTTGTAGAAGGGCAGGTAAGGCAGTGGTGTCAAAGCTCTTGGAAAGGTCCAGATTTCTACCATCTGTCCTCACCAGCTGCAGTGCAAAATTTCATTTGATGACTTGCAGTCAAATTTGTGATATACAAACACTCTGTTAAGCCACATATACTCAAGCCCCAAGAACTCCACCATAATAAAAGTAATGGTAAAAGAACTGGCAAATGAATGAAGCAGCACATTTTATATTAGTATAAATGTTTCATTGGAAGTGTTTTTCTAATTACAGTAATTCTAATGATCATTTAAAAACTTAGTTTTTAAGCATTGGATCATTAGAAAGACATTAGAAAGCAGTTAATCAGTATAATGCCATACTGATTAATTCTTTGACCTAGTATCTAAAATTTCAATGCAACATTCTCAGTTTTGGTTTAGAATTCACAGGAACATACAATAATGTTATGTCAATGCTATGGCACACTAAATGTCATTTTATGGAGCATAGTGTACAATTCTGCTGGCTTTTTAAGAATTCTTTCTGAATTTCTTAGTGCAAACCTGCAAAAGTCAGCAAATATGCATGCATGTATTCAAAAAGTTAGACTTATTAATGCTTGAGCCATGCTTCTTTAATAATTTGTCCTTGCATTGCTTTTTGCAGCTTCTGTCAATGACCCAAGATGAATACAAGCCATCGGATGTTAGTATACTACTAGTCTTTGTAATTTTGTAATTCTTCTTAATGTGTGTAAATACAGATTACACTGATATATACAGATAAAAGCTTAGATGACATTTTTAAAACTTATCTATTTTGCTTAGCCTGCTATTTACCCTATAACCTCGATTATCCTAAATATAATTGTCTTTTGCTTCCTTAATAATTACACTGAGAAACCACTGATTAGCCCTAAAACTGATCATTTGTAATTAAAATACTTGTAGTAGTAGTACCGACTGGCAAATGATCTATGCTATTTCATTGGGTTTAAGTAAGATATCAAAATATGCTTTCTAATGCAAGCCATATTTAAACTTGATTTAGCTTCTTTTCTGTATTTTTTTCTTTCATTTGTGTTGAAATGCGGAGGCCCTTAAAGCATGACTGACAACACATATGAGTTCAATTTACAGATTACAGAAAATCCAAGTCTTTGTTTGAATAGACAGTGAATGATCCATTTATCTTGACTGCTATAGACCCTAGCAGACTGAAAGCAGAAGCATCCCCTCTGTTCAGCACACACAGAAGAATGGAGATGCAGATGAACTTTGGGAGCAGCTATAACCAAATCTAACTGTGCTCCACAGCCTGTGCTTGGTGTAGCTGCTGAATATAACTGAACATAACCCAGATACTATTCTGAAGCAGTCCACACATGACTGTGCATAGTTTCAACAGGCAAAATATGCTCCTATCTCACAGCCTAAGCAGAAGTCAGTCTTCAGGGTGTACTACCATCAGTAACCCATTGCATGTGAATTTCAGCCAATACAAGAGATATTTATGATTGTGGTTGCTGGAGCCCTAATCCAAACAAGCACAAGGGCTGAAATTTAATTCACAAAAATAAATAGAGTGTTGTATTAGTACTACCAAGTGGCATAAATGTGGCACCAATAACAATAATTACCACAAGTGGTTTTATTAACGGCAGCAAATGTAGATCTCGCCAGTAATAATTTAAAATTGAAAGTAATTTATGACTGTTACTTTCATAACTACTGAAAATAATTAGATGTGAACTGAAGTCTGAAAACCTCGACGTATTAGTTTGCCTAAAAAGCAGGATGAATTTTTGGTTACAGCTTTAACTTAAATGCAGGATCTATAATGACACTTTCCTAGCCTGGCTGTAAAAAGCCAGTTTAACCTGGGAAAGGCAGGATGTCTGCAGATGGGCTCATTGAGTTACTGTTTGTGTGCTAAGCCACATGGTCAGCCTTAGCCTTCCCCAGCTGTGGATGTGTTAACTTAGTCCACCTTTACACTGTTTTTTTCTTTCCGTTTAATTTCATAGGTAGGACCGGCCAAGAGTATGCAAATAGTTATTTACCATGTCTCAGATGACTGCAGTAACTCAATTGCTTTTGCTTGTGTATCCACACTTTTATTCCTTTTCACAGTGCTTGTGTATAAATTGAAGTGTTACCTAAGGCAATGTGACATTCTGGGAATTTTTTTTAAAAAAATTGAAATCTTTTAAAGGAAATGTTTATAGAAGTTCAAAGATGCAGAAGCATTTTACTGTTTGCTGAAGAACTTTACTGAAACAAATTTGTAATTCTATTGAGATTGCATAAAAAGCTAACAAAAATTAATTTTGGAAGCTATTATGTGCTACTTTTGCATGCAACATGACTATAACATATCAATTTCTTTGGAAGGAAGTAACTGCAGTTACTTGTTAAGCTCCTTTAACATTGGCAATCCAACACTAGCGAAGCACAGAAGTAGGAGTCATATTCTCATAAGAGCCACCCTAAATGCAGTGCCTCTCCCTGTTGTCCTGGCAGGTGCTGCTGGTAACAGTGAATGGGAACCCTGCTGACTATCACACCATCCACCCCACACTGCCTTTAGAAAATGGTCCAGCCAAAGCAGACATGTACTCAACACCACAGTACAAATGGGAGCCTTCGGATGGTATGTCAGGTAGTGAATTGCCTGGGAATTACCTTTAGTTCCGTATTTTTTCTTATTCTGTGTCTCTGTTCACTGCCTCTAGCATTTATTTTCATTTTGGTAAGGTCTTTGGCCTGTTGAAGTTAAATAATTGCTGTCACCTTACAATGATGGCTGACCACACAGCAATTTTGTAAACTGGGCTGTGGGCATATACTATCCAAAATACTTTTCCTACCAACACAGTGACTGTGGGTTTTGTGTTGCTTTACTGTGCTTAAATGTAATTTTTCTTTGGCTCCCATCTTGAGCTTGCTGATTGCTGTAGAAGTAGCCATGAGAGTGATTACAAGTAAACCATTCCACGAGAGAGTGCATATACTACTTTTAGACCAGCATGAATTGTGAATAAGAATTTCTTTTTCTACTTAGAAAAGGAAGAGGAGGAGGAGGAGGAAGAGGAAGAGGAAGTTGCTCAGGAGGAAAAAGAAAATGTTAAATTACATGCCCTGGTCTCGGTGTTCCAATTTATTATGAAACAAAGTTACATTTGTGCTTTGATAGCTATGATGGTAAGTACTGGCAACAGAAAAATAATGCTGTTAATTTTACAAATAAATGGGTCTTCTCAATGTTCTCCTGAGACCAATCTCATTGGTTCGTTTTCAGTAAGCGTTTGTATCAGGGTTAGCAAATATCTGTATGGTGTCTGCATCATTTTGTGTCCATTTTAGGTTATTAATGCATAATTCCCAGGCCTGTTATAGACCTATAAATAGGGCAACATGTTGGGTTCTGGGTAAAGCATCACTTTTCCAGGACTGGGAGCCCTGGGTTTTGTTGTCTGTTGGAAGTTAGAAAACCACTGGGGCTCAGTTTTCCATTGATTCCACAGCTTCTGTATATTCAGGCTTGTCATGCAAAAGCATGCAAAAAGCTCCACTCAGAAATTTGCCTACAAAATTAAAGCATTTCATAGTGGTATAGTAAATTTAAGAAATATAGTTCCTAGTTCAGGTGGAAGCATGCATCCACTTACTCTCTGAGAAGAGAAAATCCGTAAAGCTTGATTTCCTCTATTGGCACAGAAAGGTCTTAAGGACAATACAACTTCGTGCCAAGCAAGATTTTGATATTGTTTTACTTACTGCCCTTATTTCTCTTTCTCATGTTGTTGCTTGCTTTTAAGCCCACTTGATGCAAATACCTTGAGCTGCACTGTAGCAAGTTTTCAGCATAATGATTAGATCTCTATATTCCCAATGCAAGCTTTGCTTTTACTGTTTTGGAAGGGTTTCAACTGTGATGAAATTAACCATAAAGCTTCTTGGCCCAATTTTGCATTAAAAATGGTAAAACAAATTAGCTTGGCTGCTTCTTGTTTGCATAAAGTTTCAAACTTTATTTGCTGTCCTTTAACAGGAAAAGTTTCTCAACTAAATAAAGCAGACTCCTTGTGCAGAATCTGGATCTGGCTTGATGCATTCTGAGACATTAGCAAGTAGTTGTTTTCATATTGACACAATGCCTCTTTTTCCTATTTTTTAAACTTACATGCTTCATATGATCTGCATTTCCTTTTTAATTCATTTCTAAGGTCGTATCTCTCAATATCAAAGCAGAAGACACATTGGAATAGCTTTCTTCTGGTTTAATATTGAGACACTACTAGCTTCTTTCTTAGTGACATATCCCTATTTTATGTGGCCCAAATTCATTTATGAATTTATGTTGTGATCTGATGCAAGTTCCACTTACACCATAGCCAAAGATGGCTCAGTGTAAGTTAGTTTAGTACACGGGGACAGAGAAGTAGCATATTAGTGTTTTTCACATACCCTTAAAAGACATCATATCCAAGGAGGCTGAGCTAAACTGATTGAAAAATTCTTAATGATTCATACTTTTCTATTTACATTGAAAAGGAATCTAAAATGTTTTATTGACAGTCATTCCACAGTTATACCAGCATACATATAGCTGAATTTAGTCCCAAATCGATAACATAATGTTAATTAAAAACACTTAGAACCCCAATCCTTTTCCCTGAGTGTTTAATAGAGCAGTTTTCAGTAACTGATTTCTGCAAGCTACAGAAAACATTCTGTAGTTGTGAGTATTTCAGGTAATCTAACATAGTTAGTGTAGACTAAATGTTCTTCAGGTTAGGTGTGTGCCGTGTGTGCATACCGTAGCTTTCCATTTTAAATCGATTCCACAAAAGCTGGAACAGTATGACGTTAGCATAGTTTTATAAGTTTGTCACAGACCCTGAATGTAGTAGCTATTGAATAAGTTTTGCTATTCCTACTCTGAATTCTTTGCTGCGAGTTTTGCAAGAAGAACCTGTGTGCCCAAAGGTTAGTCTGTATTTTCCATCTCTTTTAGTTTGGTGTAATCAGAAGCAATGAGTCTGCTTACAAACCTTACCAAGGTGCAGTTAATGCACAAAGCAGCATTTGTCCTCAGCTGTAGAATTCTTAAGAATCCACTTTCTGCATGTTCTCCAAGGGGTTTATTCTAGCTGGCCCAGTAGCTGATTCATATGGGTGAGAGTCTCATGACAATGAAAATGTGCATGAAGTAGAGAAGTGTAAGTTAAGCGTAGCTGGCAATATGCATCAATGTTCTTCCTGTGAATGTATCTGTGAACATTTTTTCCTCTCTTTCCTCCTTCCACAAGGCGTGGAGTATCACGTATCACAGCTGGTTGACTTTTGTGTTACTGATCTGGTCTTGCACATTGTGGATGATTCGGGACCGAAGGAAATATGCCATGATCAGTTCACCATTCATGGTTTTCTATGGAAATTTACTGCTAACGTTGCAGTATATATGGAGTATTGAGCTCAAGAATGACGAGCTTCCTCAAGTATCTGGTTTTCTAGAAAGAAAGGAACCTGGGGAGTTGGCATCAAAGGTAGGTATTACAAACAGCTGAGATTTATTTATGAAACCACAAAATATATGGTGATAAAAAATGTGGATTTCTTGGCATTTCTTTAAGAGTGAATCCTCAGTATTCAGTATAACCATGTTCAGTAGCAGTTCTATAATAAAGAATAAGTCATTACAAAATAGTGTTCAGAAAATTGCTTCTTGCTTGTTAAGCAAATATTTCAGACATCTTTGTAGATTTTCATGATAATTCTGTAGAAAATTCTTAGTGGAGGGAAATTGCTCACTTGTTTGGTTTTGTAAGCTGGATACAAAACTAGATGTGATTTGATTTGTTAGATTAATACGCATGGGATGTCAGGTCTATCTCTTAATATGATGGCAACTGGAACTGTGGTGTCAGTGCAATTACCAAAACTAGTCACTCCCTTATGATATGGCATAAGCAGCAGTACATAGCTGTGACTGAGCTTTAATTCTTTCTCCTTACACCTGAAGCAGCATGAGTTGGAATCTGTTTTAGGTCAGAAACAAGAGATTTTGTTGACCTCAGTGCATGATAGATTTTTTTTCTTTGATGTCTTGAAAGCAGTACAAAATGCATTTTGTTTGGCAGGTTTGCTTCTGGGGGAGGGAATGAGCAGAAATAGGAAGTTGTTTCCTAGAGCACCCCAGAGGGGCGTCTCAGAGAGTGCATCTAGTTGGCACTGCTCTCCTTGCGCTAAGTGAATCACTTCCCTTGTGACCCCTAATTACTATTTAAGGTGATTCTGTAAGTGATTTTCCTTGTTGGCTGTGTCCTTTGGACAACCATTTCTGGGTCTTTAATGCATTTGAAAATTAGTGAGTGCTGTATTATTTCTCTCGTAAAGGTAGGACTAGTTCAGTAAAAGAGCTAAAGCCTAAGGGGTCCTGCAAGAGAAGTTCTACAGTTTCTCTGAATGACTGTAAATCTCTAAGGAGTTTTAACTGTCTTAATATGTCAGTCCCTTTGACATTATTTCTTATTAGCTATATCATCAAGTATCTTATCTAAAACTAGCTGAAAGGAAACTGTTGTGTATATAGGATGATTTGGCCACATCCAAAAAACTGTTAGAAGATGTCCAGTGGGTTTCTTTACGCTGAATATAATACACTCTGTGAATTTCACAGAATCACAGAATGGTCGAGGTTGAAAGAGACTTCTGGAGGTCATCTGGTCCAACTCCTGTACTCAAGCAGGGCCATCTAGAGCTGATTGCCCAGGACCATGCCCAGATGGCTTTTGAATATCCCCAAGAATGGAGACTCCACAACCTCCCTGAGCAACCTGTGCCAGTGCTCAGTCACTGTCACAGTAAAAAAGTGTTTCCTGATGTTCAGAGGGAAAGTCCTGTGTTTCAGTTTGTGCCCATTGCCTCTTGTCCCGTCACTGGGCACCACTGAAAAAAAGCCTGGCTCCACCCTTTTTCCACCCTCCCTTCAGGTATTTATAGACTTTGGATGAGATTTCCCCTGAGCTTTCTCTCCTCTAGGCTGAAGAGTGCCAGCTCCCTCGACCTTTCCTTATAGGAGAGATGCTCCAGCCCCTTCATCTTTGTGGCCATTCAACTAGACTGTTTCCAGTATGCCCATGTCTCTCTTGTACTGGGGTGTCAGAATGGGACACAGCTCTTGAACTGTGGCCTCAGCAGTGCTGAGTAGAGGGGAAGGATCACCTCCCTTGACCTGATGGCAACATTTCTCCTAATGCATCCCAGGATACCATTACCCTTCTTTGCGGTAAGGGCACATTGCTGGCTCATGTTCAACTTGGTGTCCACGAGGACCCCCAGGCCTTTTCTGCCAAACTACTCTCCAGCTAGGCAGCCCCCAGTGATGCATGAACTGGTTGTTCCTCCCCAGGTGCAGGACTTTGTACTTCCCCTTGTTGAACTCCATAATGTTCCTGACAGCCCTTTTCTCCAGGCTGTTGAGGTCCCTCTGGATGGCATCACAACCTTCCAGTGTATCAGCCCCTCCTGCCAGGTTTGTGTCATTGGCAGACTTGGTGAGGGTACACTCTGCCCCATCATCCAGATCATTAATGAAGATGTTGAACAGGACTGGATCCAGTATAGACCGCTGGGGTGCATCGCTAGTTACTGACCTCCAACTAGACTTTATGCCACTGATCACCACCCTCTGAGCTCAGCTGTTCAGCCAGTTTTCAGTCCACCTCACTGTCTGTTCATCCAGCCCATACTTCATCAGCTTGTCTATGAGTATTTTGTAGAAGACAGTGTCACAAGCCTTCCTGAAGTCTAGGCAGACAATATCCACTGCTCTCCCCTCATCTACCAAGCCAGTCATTTCATTGTAGAAGTTTATCAAGTTGGTGATGATTTTGTTGTCCTTCCTGTGCCCGGAAGTGGTTTCCAAGATTAGCTGCTCCATCACCTTAGAATCATAGAATCATAGAATGGTTTGGGTCAGAAGGGGCATTTAAAGATCATCTAGTCCAACGCCCCTGCCACAGGCAGGGACATCTTTCACTAGATCAGGTTGCTCAGAGCCCTATCCAACCTGACATTGGACACTTCCAATGATGGGGCATCCACAACTTCTCTAGGCAACCTGTTCCAATGTCCCACCCCCCTCACCTTCCCAGGGATTGAGGTGAGGTTGATCAGCCTGTATCCTCCATCTTGCCCTTCTTGAAGATAGGAGTGACATTTGCTTTCCTCCAGTCTTCTGGCACTTCTCCCAGTCACCACAATAAATCAAAGGTTCTTGAGAGTAGCTTCTAAAATGACATCAGCCAGGTCCCTCAGCACTCGTGGGTACATCCCATCAGGACCCATGGTCTTATGTATGCTCAGTTTGCTAAGTATTCCCTGACCTGATCCTCTTCCACCAAGGGTTTGTCTTCCTTGCTTCAGACTTTTGCACAGTCTCTGGGACCTGTGATTCCTGAAGGCCAGTCTTGCTAGCAAAGACTGAGGCAAAGAAGGCATTTGGTACCTCAGCCTTTTCCATGTCCTGCGTCTCCAGGGCCCTTGCCCCACTCAGCAGTGGGCCCACATTTTCCCTAGCCTTCCTTTTTCTGCTTATGTACTTACAGAAGCTCTTTTTGTTGCTCTTGACATGCCTCACCAGACTCAACTTCAGGCCTTGGCTTTTCTAACCATGTCTCTGCGTGCTTGGCCAGTGTCTCTATAACCCTCCCAGGTTACCTGGCTCATCATCCATCCCCAGCCAGAGCCCATGCATTCCAGCTGTGCTTTCATGCAAATTGCAACTCTACCTCCACATCTTCCTGGCCCATGCTTCCTAAAGAGCCTGTATCTCTCCATTGCCGCTATGCAAGCCATCACACCCTGTCTCTGTGATCCCAACAAGATCATAGCCCTGCACAGAGGTCTGTAATTCCTTGTGTTTATTCCCCATGCTGCATGCATTAGTGTACAGACACTTCAGAGAGGCACCTGACATGCTGATTTCCCAGAAAGTATCTGGAAGGCCCTGTAATGGTGCCTTGAAGGCATTTCCTTGCTTACATACAAATGCTTGAGGTGACCCCACATAAGTCCTGTTTAGATGATTATGTGTTTCCTCTCATTCACAGCACCCCAGGTGCCCTTTGCTTGTCAGCCCTGTCCACCACTCCCTCTCAAGGCTGCTAGTAACTCTGTCCCTCCCCATTATTCCTAGTTTAAAGCCCTTTGAATAAAGGCTGAATTTAAATAAAAATTGGATACTGTATTCTGCAAAGAGAAGAAAATAAAAAGAACTGTACTTTAATTCTTTCTGCATAATTTTCTGCATGCTATGTGTATGTTTCCTGGTCTGAAAAGAAAATAAAATGGATACTGTAAAAGGTGGACCAAAAATATTTCTTTAATCTACAACCCTTCAAGACTTTTCGTAGAACCAGCTCTGGCTCTGGAAATGTCAAAGAGAATGAGGAGTAAATGCAGGGGGGAGATGGAGATAATCACTGCAGAACAAATCTGTGTTTTACAACGTCAGCGGTTTGTGTTGCAGAAGCCAGAGCTCCAGGAGGTGTCTGGAGAAGCTGTGACAATTTATACAGGCTGAAAATCTTCTGCTGCAGCTCAGTGTTAGCCACAGAGTCAGTGAAAACAGCTGTCGCTAGCCTGGGACCTCTTCTTTCCCCCATGAAGTACTTGCACGTTAGATGAAAAACAGGAGAGTTCTTTACATTGTACTACTGGCCTTGTCATTCTATTGTATGCAAAATACTTGGCTCTTACATGTTTCCTATTTGAGATTTTATTCTTCTAGCTTATAAAGTAGTGAAATAACCCTTGTTCTGCACCACTGAAATCAATGGAAACTTTGAAGAATGTAAACATAAAATCAAGTGTGTGATGAATAGGCATCATGCTGTTTTCTGAATTTTGTCAGTATTGCAAGCTGTTGAAGTTAGCTTTTTGCAAAACACAGAAATGCAGTCTCCATTAAAGAGATTTATTTATTTCTAAGGTATCCTGCTGTTACAGAATTATCATCTCTTAAAGCTCTTCAAAGAATTAAGAGCCATCTTAAATCTTGTAACTGCTCCAAATGCAAGGCATATTCAGTTCACTGTGTCTTATGTAACTTAAAGACATAGAAAAAAAAAATTATTTTTAATTTAATTGCATTTAAGCACCTGAAATACCAAACCTCCTAAATCAAAAGACTTAAGATATATACCAAAGCCTAATTCGGACAATGCACTCACCTACCTGTGCTTCTTCCCTGCAAAAAGGGAAAAATGAAGAAAAATGGACAGGTAGAAATTATAATAATCAGTATATAATGAGAATATCCTTAAACTTATAAGACAGGAGTTAAAAACTGAATAGAATGGGGGAGAACAGAACTATGTAGGTAAATACCTTTAAGAAAAGATGCAGAGTGAATTACTCAATGGAAAAGTGCAAATGAAATAAAGTTGTTTTCAATACAACACATTTTCTAAATGACTTAACTTCCACAAAGATGCACTTTGACACTGATGCCATTGTTACCATTTTCTGATGGTCAGCGAAAAGAAAGTCATGCAGAATTTATGAAAGCTTATGTTTGTATTAGCAGGATATAGGATATACAATTAGTCTGTTGTTTTTGTTTTGATTTTTGTTTGCAGATTCTTTTCACAATTACTTTCTGGCTACTGCTTAGGCAACACCTCACTGAACAGAAAGCACTTCGGCTAAAAGAAGCTACTTTATCTGAGGTCAAAGTTGGAAGTGAAGAAAATGAAGAAAAAGGTAAAGCCAGCTCCAATTTAGCTCTTCAGTAATGATAGAAGTTCCAGTTACTGCATTTCTGTAATGCTGAAAGCTATTAGCAAGATACCTGTTATTAGCAAAGAAAGATATTACAAAATCTATGTACAACTATTTCTCAGGATATAAAAATAAAACACATTTGAACTTCAGAAATGCAAATAAAATGAGAATTCTCTTTACTGGAGAAGGTAAGTGAAATGCCTTATTTGAGAAATGTCATGGAACTTTCAAATAATCAGTTTACTCCTGTGTCCCAAACTGAAACCAGCAGATTGATTTCTGTAGGAGTTTAACCACAGGAGAACAAGGGTTTACATAGGAAAAGCCAGTTGCTAAATTCCTTGGAAGTTGTGTTTGTACATAAACACTTGTACAAAACCAGAAGTTAAACTACAAATTTCAATGGGAAAATAAGCATGTATATTTTCAGTGCAGCGGCTCATGCTATGAGAAGCATACCTTAGAGCAAAGTTTACTGCTACAGTTTCAGCTCATCTAACAGCTCGGTGGCCTGTTCTCTCTTTTGCTACTGGGCACACGTTCCCCCAAACCTTCCTTGCCCTTTTCTGTCGCTCTGGATGCTGATCTGAACAAGTTCAACTCACTGAAATAGTAGGAAGCCAGCCCGGGAAACAGTGATGTAGCTGCCTTTTTTGATTAATTACAGTATTTGTCTAAGTAAAACATTTGATCAGTGTCAGAGCTGGACACTGCAAAGATTTGCAAAGCAAGAGCAAGGAAAGAGTTTGAGAAGAGGGATGGTGAGTGGGACAAAAGGAGTGGGCGAGCCTTTTGATGGTGAAGTCTTGATATTGTTCTCAATGTGAAGAAAAGCATTACAGCTATGTGCTATAAGGTTGACAAGCCGTGTTATCTGGATACTTGCTTATGCATACTTGCTACTGGGGGGACACTTACTCTGCCCTCCACAAGCCTCACAAAGTTAATAACTGGGGAATCCTGACCTCTTCATAGGGCAAAAGCAGCTTGTCTTTTCTGCAATGGCTCAGGTACAGCAGAAGAAGCCGGAAAAGTAATAGTTTCTTTGAAAAAGAGCAGTGTTACTGCAGCATTTACATTTTTTAAGCTTGTTTGGGTTTATGTTAATGTTTTATCTTGCTTGTGGTTTTTGGAGGTAACCACAATATTCTCTAAAGGATGAAATTCAAGATGAGAGGTTCAAACTCAAGATGAGAGTTTAAGCTTTAAACTCAAGATGAGAGGTTTCTGCTGGTGCTCGTGGGTTCTTTGTTTTCCAGTTCAAAAAGTTTCTTGCCTGGGAGTATAGGTATTGCCATGGAAAGTGTTTTGACTGTTATCCATTATACAACACTTAGGCTTTAATTTTCCGCTCCAGCTGCCTGCGTTTCAGACAAAGTGAAGATGGGTGTCTGGTAAGGATGTATGGCTATGCACTGTATGGCTCCA